CAGGCATTGTCTTTTAGACTGTGGGTGAGGAATTTGGATGTGGATCACCTTGAGATTCTGGCTTAGGGTTGCCCTGAAATTCTTTTCTGTGGTGAAATTTAGAATCCCAGCTTCACCTGAGTGAGTGGAGGCTTTCTAAGGAACATCTCAGATTATTGTAGGTGGAACTGTGACTCTTGGCTCTTGCCCACTCCCACTGTCAATAAGACCATTGCAAAATACAGATAGATACTGGCCTGGGGTGGCCCATTGATTACAGCACGTGCCCAGCACTCATGAATTCCTCAACCTAACCCCCAGGATATTGCAGCATGACACAGGGGAGGAGGTAGGGAAGCCTGGAACATAAATTCTCAAGGCTGTTGCCAGCATATAGCATTAGATAGCAAGATAGGTCTCTGGAACAGGTTCATTTCCTTAAAGCATTTAGAATATAGAGATTAGCAGTCATGACATCATGCTACAACTATGTAAATTAGAAGCTGTAATAATTTTGCTAATAATACCCAGTTGATTGTATATTTGATCACAAGTTAAGAAAAATGACAGTGGTGTTTTTTAACAGTATCAAGTACCAGCTCGAGTCATGTGGTCTATGTGTGAATACCTACTATATAGAACACTGAGAATGTTTCTTAATTTCTTTGTCATCCATCCTCCAAGATAGTTCTGTGATATGCATCTTCTGGTGTTTTCATCCCCCAGTGTTGTATTGGGTTGTTCAGTACTGCTAATATGAAACACCAGAATTAATGCTGTGATGGCTGCTTCTGAAGCTAAGTTATGGCAGGCACCAGGCCTTCTTGTATCTGCCTTGCTGACTTAAGAAGAGGCTCACGTCAGGGAAACTTAGGTCTGTAGCTAAACACTAGATGAATGACCTTGCACAGGATTCTCCATCTTCAGTTAATCGTTCAGGTGACCACCTCAGGAGATACCCTAAACCAGAACAGAATCCCAAGGTAATCTACACCCAAATTCCTCACCGATTGTCTAGGAAGTAATGTCTGTTTCCTCAAGCTTTGGAGAAATTCCTTTTTCAACAGTAAAGATGCAACTATTTCCTTTTCTCAGACAGAAATGATAATAGTACTTTTTCCAAAAGTTGTCTTAAGGATTAAATGAAGAATACCTCAGCCCAATACAAGGCATAGAGTAAACACTAGCAGACTATTATTTAATCTTTGAGGCACCTACTCCTCCACAAGGCAAGCTGCTCCTGTGTTATTCACAAGCCACCTTCCCCTGGGACCTTAGTACTTAACTTTGAGAGCGCACCCACCCAGTCCAGTCCGTTCCTTTAGATTGTTACTCTTTTGACTATTAAGCAGGCAAACAACCTTCCTTTCTCAGTCTCTGGTCCCTTTTGAGAGGCAAGGAAAAGATTTCCAAGGTAAAGAAAGTTAAGGCGAATGTTATAGGGAGGGAAAAGAAAGACCAAATTGCTGGCCCAAATAAGACCCTGATTGGGGAGGGGGGGTTGTTGACAAGAGTCAACTGAGCTCTTACAGGGCAAGCCATTGAGAAACTGTCCTCTGACATACACAAAGCTTTCATTCAGGCTCATCTCTAGTCTTTCAACTGGGAATGGATCCTAGACTTTCTCAGGCAAGCTTTACAGATGCTATCTTTCTTCTTCCTGGTGATTCCTTTCTCCTCGTATTTGGGTTTCTTTAGTACTGAGGGTGGATGAGAAGTCATGTGTCTTATAAACTAGAGGGAAAGTATTGAGGAAATTTACTGTGGAACAAGGAACAAAAGAAGAAGGATGCTTCTTCTACTCCATAGTTAAGCTGAATGCTAAAACCATTTGACCACTAAGTATTCCAAATATCATACCATAAAGTAAACACAAACTGAATGAGAACGCTTCATTTCCATTTAGCCATTGGCTTTTCTGACAGGTAACCTGTGTTGGTGTGTTTCACTGATGATTCTCTGGGAAATGAAATGCAACATGTTTCTAACAAGGTAAGGGGAAGTGTGAAGGGTAGCTTCACATACTCTGCACATACACCAAGCAGGGAGGTTTTACTTGCTGCTAGAAAAGGCCAAGCTTCTCAGCTGACTTCTGGCTTCCGAAAGCTTTTTATCTTTACAACTAAGAAGACAATGCTGAAGACTCCTCCCTGTCCTGTTTTGTGTTTACTGCATCTGGTTCAGTTGACATCAGCATTTCATATGGAAACAGTTGACCTTGCCTTAAAACTAGCCTTTCAGGGTAAGAACTTGGATTGTTCTTTTCTTCCAGGTCCCTTTTAGCTCTTTATTTCTTTGCTTTGCAGAGAATTTAATTCTCTTTTGTTTTCAATGAAATCTCCCTCTCCTCTTTTCTTTATCTCCCCTTCAATTCTCCGGCCTCCTTTCCTTTACTCAGATCTTTCCACTTCTTCCTTGCCTGAGCGGATGTTAAACCTTGGGCGCCTCGGGGTTGGACAGGGGAGCATCTCTTCATCTCCTCATGATGAAGCAGGGTCCTTGTAAGAATCCCTTCTGGTGTGGCACAGCCCAGGAAAGGTATTGCTGACATAATGGGAATGCTGCATGACTGGGCCGTCATCTCATGCCTTTACGATAAGGTAAGAGATGAAGCAAGATAACTTCCACTTCCTATCTAAACACACAGAATTCAGAAGTAAAAGGAAAGAGCAGCTTGAATGTAAACAAGCTACCAGGAAACCGGATTTCTACCGGCTCGCAGGGGGCGGGTCTCTGCTACCCTCCCCCCACACCTTCTTAAGATTAACCAGTCTCAAAAGCACAGTCATTCACATCTGAGGAGCTTCCAGCTTTCAAATTGTGAAACTGCACCTTGTTTGGGGCCACTTTCCTTACGTTTTCTTCCAGTCTACCCTCCTTCCCACTACAAACCCCAAGTGTCCAGACATGCTCAAAATTCTCCCATCTATGTATTTTAAAGGAGGTGCCATGGATACGCAGTGTACCAAGAATGCTTGTTGCTCTTGGAGAGGATGAGAGTTTAATTCCCTGTACCCACAGGATGGCTCACAAGCATCTGTAACTCCAGTTCCAGGAGATCACTACCATCTTCTCACTTCTATGGGCACCAGATATTCCAAGTAGTACCTGGAGTAGGCAAACACACACACAAACAAACACACACACACACACACCACACACACACACACACATGCATATATATATATATATATGCATATATATAAACCAAAATATATAAATCTAAATATATATTATTTTCCATAACTTTACACCATCTATTGGTTAAAGACCACTCCTTGCTCCCACTACCCACATTCTTCTCTGGCTCTGAGACCTTTAGAATTCCAGAACACAGAATATAACCATTGTGTATACTGCCACACAAGAAACTCATGTTTTTTAACTCTTCAAGCTTTTCCAGACTTCTTACAGGATCTTCTTGTCTTTAGAGCAGTGTCCTCAAGCCCCTCTAGGTTAAATCCTAAGAGTCAGTAAAATGAGTCTCTCAGGAAGTTCTCTGAAGAGAAACATCCTTGATTTTTTTGTTTAGGGAAGAGAGTAGGTGCTATTCCTGAGAAAGGACAGAACAAGCCCTCCAGAGTCTGCATGCTCTATGCAGTAAAATAGAATCCTTACAGTTAACAATAATTTGTGCAAACCCCTTGGTAAACAAGATTATGACTCGGGTCCCAAGTTTATTCTTTGTCTATCTCAAGTGGGTTTATTCACAGGCCAAGATTCCACAAGCTTCCCTTAGGGAAGTTCTGTGGTTACATTTTCTTTTCTGGGAATCTGTGATGTCTCTGTGGCTTTGTAGAGAAAAACTAGTCTATCTAGGCTATACTTTGAGATTGTTTGATTCTAGATAGGGCTTATCTTTTCCTCACCCAGATTTTTGAATGTTATTTAATTTCCCCCTTTTTTTTCCCATGTACTTCCAGAAAGGGCCTCATGTCTTCCAGGCTGGGCTCAGTTTCTTCTGTAGCTAAGGATGGCCTTGAACTTCTGACCTTCCTTAGATCCTGAACAACAGAACTAAGTTTGCCTAAAACAGTAACACTCACTGGTGTCTTAATTAAGTATCATGAGCAGAGGGTTCAGTGATTAACCTCTGGTACCTTGGCTCCTTCATGAAACCGAATGACTGTCATAGCTCTATATGCTAATTCTCAGTTGTTGCCTCAAAGTTTGGCTAAGGCTACCTGACTACACTTCCACCCGGAGAGGCTGGTTCGGGAAATGACTGATTAAGAATGTGCACAATGTGTAGTGTGTAATTCGTAGTGGTTTACGTGAGGAGTGGAGGGAGAACCAGATTAGCTATTCTTGTTTGCTTGCATGCAATAGTGTCATTCCATTCTCTGTTTTGTTCCAAAAGCTGGGGCTAAACTGGAACATTCTGGCAAGCTGAAAATGCATGCTGGTGACTTTCAAGGAAGCAACCCAGTAGAAGCTGACTGATTCCAGGTCACTGTGTTATGCACAGAGGTGATTTAGTGATGTAGTATTTCAAAAATGGTCAAATAATTACTTCTCTACAACTGAATCTTCCAACTGGTAAATTTTCATCATGCCTGAAGGAGAAATCTCTGGATTTCCTGGTTTTGTTGTTGTTGTTTGTTTGTTTTCTTTCTTTCTCATTTCCCACTCCACTTAAGACATTCTCATTGCCTCATTGCTAAGTTTTAGATCTTCAAAAGCTGCCTTACTTCCTTGAGGAAGAATCTACAATCACAGTCTCCTAAAATCAATTTGAAGTTAAGATATTTTCCATTGCATTTAATAAAAAAGAAACCGTGCCTCTCTCCCAGTTTCAGGAAGTGTGTATTTGTTATACACAACAAAACAAGGAAGCATCAAGGCCCAAACACTGGAGCCCCCAGAAGCAGCAACGCATTTAGAGACGGACCAGTCTCTTCAGCCATAGGCCAGCACAGGGGACAAGACCCCCAATAAACTGAGCCCACTTAGAGAGCTCACAATGGCATCTGACCCCATCTCCAACCACCCTCTCTTTTTAAGATGTTGCAAGGTTCTACCTTTGTTCAGCAGAACCACTGGCACGGTGATGACGGTGACAAGCGCAGCGACACCAAGCAGTCCCAGAAGAACCTTCCACGGTGTCTGCAAAGCAGGTCAGGATGCAAACAATTAGAGGGACGCCTTTGTTCCTCCTCTGCAAAGAGGGTTGGAACCTAGGCCCTTTCGGTGGCAGAGGGGTTTGCAGGTGCACACTAGACTGGAGGGGTTTGGCGTTCACTCCAGCAGAAGCCCTTGAATTTTGGCCCCGAGCAAGATCTTATAATCTTGTTGGCTTCTCTCCTCCCACCCACCCGTCTGAAGCCAAGAGTGCTGTGTGCGTTCCACGGGTGGCTGTCCCCGACTTCCAAGGCTCAGTACCTGAGTCTCAGTAGAACACGCCACAGATCTAAGCTAGTGTACGGGACAAACGTTCCTTCACCTGTTAGGGTGGCCCCGTGGCTTCCGCCAAATGGCAGCTCCTGGTTGCCTCCAGGAAAGCTAGGGCAGTTTGGGGGAGGATCTGTCAAAACACTACCCACAACCCGACCCCGGGTCCAGGGAGGTACGATGCGGGGTGCACTCACCTTCATGGTCGGGCGGCTCCTTGAAACTGAACTCTGAAGCTTGAGCGCAGACAGAAGTCACCGCGGAGACTGACGTCCTGCGCCGCTGCTCTGCACGCAGTCACCCTGAGCTCGCCGCCAAGTTTCGGCCCGAGTTAAACATTAGTTAGCGCCAGGCGGGCTTCGGTGAGCAGTGTGGGCGCGGGTCAGCCGACCCAGCGCGGAAGGACCACTAGGAGAGCCAGGGAGTGGCACGCAGGTCCCCCCTGCCCCCGTGAGTGGCGGGCACGGGGGACAGCGAACCCCCTTTGCCGAAAGGGACATTGCACATTGAGGTTTAACTGTTGTTCCCTTGCGTGGATAAGTGAGGCAGCTGAGGTCCAAGAGGGCATGGAGTTTGGGAGATTCACAGCTCACTGCAGAAACTAACTGCCAGTTCTCTTATCTCTTTCCCTGAGAGGTCTGTCAGACTGAGAGAAGGGGTTGAGTGTCCCATGTTATCTGGCTGACAAAGAAAGAGAAAAGGTGATTGTTCACTTTTGAATGACACTTCAGGCTGAGTATCCGTATTAATCCTCCCCAGAGAATTTCCACTTATTTTGCGGGCATCTCTTCTCATCAAGAAAAACACTTCTTAAGTGGGAAGTTACTTTAAGCACTGTTCTACACGATTACTGTGTTATTTCACAGGGAGGAAGATGATACACAGGGACATCAAGTCACTCCACCAACTCACTCAGCCATGACACTATGGAGCTTAAATTAAAAGTGCAGGACACTGCTAGAATACTGAAGCAACTGAATTTTAGTCCTTCATGTCTCCACAATTTAAGGAGGTGTATTTCTTTATAAATCAACTGTGGCATGGCACCCAAATAGACTAAAGCACAAACACCACACACA